CCTCATTTTCTGGACTCGTATGCAGATATTTTCACAGTGAAAATGCGACAACCGTACAGCACACCACCAACGCTATTTTATAAACGGCTACTTAATAAGGCAGAGTGGATTTCGTGTCTAAAATGCTGCGAAATTGAACTCAACAAAACTACTTGTTCCTCAGAATGTGACCATCCTATGGTCCAAAACTAGCAAGGTCTATTGGGTACGGATGATGGAAATAATGCAGATCAACGATTCAAATAAGGTTTGGGGAGAAAGCAAACAAAACGTACTCTCCTCTTCCTGTCATGGCTGTCAAGCCGCTGCTGATCTCTGGATACAAGGAAATGAACCAACCGTTTATTGCGTATAATGCCTATACTATAAGGCGAAAATAGAGGCACTTGTGCCACTCCGAGTCACTACTAAAACGCCAGTAGCCAGAATGCTAGAACAGAAACTGTTTTGCAGAAGCCAAGAAGGGCTGGGGCTACCGGCGCAGCCAAAACTTTATCTCCCTGACCGTAATGCAGAGGAGAATCCTTTAGTTTTCACAAAGTTAGAACAAGGAGTTGGAAATTATAATCAAAATACTGTGGTAATGTGTTTGATCCTTAGGCTCAGTCTGTTCTCACAGTTTCTTTTTACTGAAGGATAGTGAGGAAGTGAAGAACAAATTGACAGTTCTGACGCATCTCGCAGGTATTCGTTGGCGCAACTTGCACCAAGACCTACCTCTCTTTTGGGTGAGTGTGTAAACTAATTTTCACCACATTACCTACTCTAAAATTTCCTACCCTTAGGCGATCAAGCACCGAAATCAGTTTTGAGCTACTTCGTGGAGGTACATCCTACCACCGCATCTTCCACTGCTGTGATACAGTAAGCTTAACGAAAAGCTGGCCTCTGTGACCCAAGAGTCTTGTTAATGCTTAGCTTAGGACTGCCGACAAGCAGGAATCGCATCGGTCTGTGCATCTAGATTGATATTTCATGAGTAGGGAATACAATGAAATGGTAAACGTTTTCATGCATTATGTGAGTGACTTTTATTTGCCTGAAGCCAAACGAGTAAACAAGTTTCTTCTCCTTTTTAAAAATGCTGACCTTTGCATAGGTGACGATTTACATAAGCGATTTCTTTAAATTCGTAAACGGTATTTTTGTTTCCGCAAACGGAATGTAGCAGGCATTCGCAGCAAGACGAGAGTATGATCCGATTGACATTGAGTGAAGTCAATCCTGAGATCGGTTGGGGTCGAGAGATGAATGGTCAAGTCAGATGAACAACTATTAAGCGGGTTTGTTGGTTCCCAAGGTGAGATAAATGATAGCAACTGTCATTCACAAACATTCACGATATCTAACCCACTTAAAACAGCCGTGCAAAAGTAAAATCAAGATTTGTCAATGACTTGAATACTTTTCCACTCGCTCACCAGCTCCTTTCTAAGTCCATACTCTGATGAGAAAGATTGCATTCAGGCGGTATTTTAAGAGGCATGGATGTAATCCTGCCGCAGTAATGAAGAGGACGCAGATATTTTCAATTCGCTTCTTACTACCTATATTTTCTCCTTCACTCTGTGGTCTAGAAATGCACTTTCTAATCCCAAAACCGCTTTAGATATTCTTGATTTTCCTACTAGCTTGCTTGTCACAAAAGAGTGCCCGCACCGGATGGTAGCAGTTTGCATTTTATCTGCCAATATTCGGC